CACAGGACAGAGCAGAGTTTAGGGCTGTTGTACATAGGGTCGCTATGAGTCGCAAGTGACTCGACGGCACATAACAACAACAACAACAATTCCTTGTAGAAAGTCATGATGCTCAGAAAGGCAGAGGGTTGGTGAAGGTGAGAAAGACCCTTAAACAGGTGGGTTGACAGAGAGACTGCCACAGTGGGCTCTGGTATGTCAGGTAGTGTGAGGATGGCACAAGGGGATAGGGTTCAGATCTTTTGTTCATAGTGTCGTTATTGGTTGTACGCAACTGGACAGCACCTATCAACAGCCACAACCTTGGATTCAGAACTGATTCATAGCTAGCTGACTCTCCAGTGGGTTTTCAGAGGCTGTAAATAACGTGGGAAAAGACTGTCAATTTTTCTCCCTTGGAGCAGTTGGTAGATTCAAACTGCCTGTCTTTAGGTTGACAGGGCAATCCCTTACCCACTATACCACCAGAACCCCCTATCAAGTATTATGCTGTTGTTAGGTGCCGCTGAGTTCAGTACAACTCATAGTGGCCCTGTGAACAACAGATGGGAACCCTGTCCTATCCTTTACCATCCTCACAATCTCTGACACCCTCAAGCCCACTGCTGCACTTACTGTCTGTGCCGGTCTGGTTGAAGGTCTTCCTCCCCTTTGTCATTCCTCCACCTTTATGAGAATGATGTCCCTCTCCAAGAAATAGCCCCTCCTAGCATCATGCCCAAAGCACGTGAGACAAAGCTTTATCTTCTTTGCCTCCAGGGAGCGCTCTGGCTGCGCTTTCTCCGAGGCATTGCCATCTGTTCTGCAGTTCATGGGATATTCAGCTCTCTTCTCCAACACCACAGTTCAAAGGCACCCTTTTTTTCCCTGTTATCTACTTCCTGCTAAATAAACCTGTCTTCCTAAATTCAAGGAGTAAATGCCTATAAAATGATTAAAAGGAATTAATCAAGCCTAAAATAAAATGTCTTTGTTTCAGGTCACTTTAAATACTGAGTTTTAATTCCCTTAATTGGCCCTTAAAAAAATTATTTTTTCTCTTCTTTATAGAAGATGATAGAATTGGTTCCTCCTTTTCTCTGATTTTGTCTTTGAACCTTTTATTATTATCTGGGGCACATTTCAGAGCAGTTGCTACATATTTTAATACTTTATCTTCAATCCCCTCAGTATTACGGCAATTTTTTCTTCCTTTTCCTTCGGGCTCATTGCTATTTACCCTTCTTCCCTCCCTCTTCTTGCCTTTTGTGTTTTGTTTTTGACAAATTCTGCCCCTTTGGCCTCTTCTGATTGATCTGAGTAGCACATTTCTCATGGCTGTTATTGTTGTTGTTAAGTGTCGTTGAGTTGACGATGCCTTATAACAACCCTATGAACAGCAGATCTGAACCTTTCCCTTTCCTGAGCCATCCTCATGACCTCTGATATACTTGACCCTGTTGTTACTTTCACTCTGTTGTTGTTGTGTGTGTCAAGCCAGAACCAACTCATAGCTGATGCTATGAAAACCAGTGGGTTTTCAGAGGCTGTTAATCAGACAGGAGATTGCCCACCTTTCTCTCACAGAGCAGCTGGTGGATTTGAGCTGCGGGCCTGTGGAATTGCATCACAGCTTCTTACCACTCAGCCACAGAGTGAATGCTGTGAGCTCTGATGGCCGAGTGGTAAGAAGCTCACTGCATTCACTCTGTGGCCAATTTGCCTGATAGGTGGTCTCATGGAATGCCTTTAGTTCCTTGTTGGAGGGATAATCTCTTAAGGGTTCCACCAGTCCCTCTGAGACCAATAACTGGCCTTTTTTAGAATTTAAAATGGTGTTCTCCCCTATGTATATTAACTTTGTAAGTAAACCAATATAAAATAAAAAAATTTATTTTAGGAAAAATGGTGTTCGGTGTTTTCTCTCAGCCTGTCCAGGACCTTCTCTTGTGAACTCTATCAGAGTGGCTGGCACTTGCTCTGCTTCTTCACTGAGACATCATACCACGTATCTGTAGCACGGCGCAGAGTTAGAGCTGTTGTTGTTGTTGTTATGTGCCATCAAGTCACTCGTGACTCACAGCCCTATGTACAGCAGCTCTGAAGCCTGCCCTATCTTGGCCAGTCTCACTGACTCCAACACACCTAATCCCACTGCCCCAGTTTATTGTGTCAGCCCATCTCATCCTGGGTCTTCATCTCCTGCGCTGTCCCTCCACCCTTCCAAGCATGATGTCCTTTTCCAAGGACTGGTCCCTCTTTGCCATGTGACCAAATTATGTGAAATGGAGCTTCAAAATCCTTGTCTCCATGTAGGAACTTGGTTTCATCCTCTCCAGGCCAGACCTATTTGTTCTCTTGGTAGTCCATAGTATGTTCAATCCTCTTTTCCAGCACCACAACTCAAAGGCATCAATTCTTCTTCTGTCATCCTTAGTTATAGGCCAGCTTTCTGATGTAGAACAAGTAATTGTGAAGACCATAGTTTGGATCAGGTGAACCTTAGTCTGTAGACTGACATCGTTGTTCTTTAGCACTTTGGAGAGGTCCCTGACAGTAGACTTCCCCAGTGCAGTTCATCTTTTGATTTCCTGACTGCTGATTCCAGGAGTGTTGATTGTGGAGCCAAGCAAGCTGCAATTGTTAACAGCTTCAGTCTTTTCTCCATCTACCATGGTGCTGCCAGTTGGCCCAGTGGTGAGAATCTTTGTCTTCTTGATGTTGAACTTCAATCTATACTGAAGACTGTAGTCCTTGACCTTCTGCAGCAAACCCTTCAAGTCCTCCTCAGTTTCAGCAAGCAAGGTCGTATTATCTTCATAACACAGGTTGTTGATGAGTCTTCCTCCAATCCTGATGCCACATTCCTCCTCATAAAGTCCAGCAATCTGGATGATCTGTTCTGCCTATGGATTGAAAAGGTATGGAGACTGATGCATCCCTGATGCACTCCTTTCCTGTCTTGAACCATGCAGTGTTTAGAACTAGATGAAAGAAAAGAGTATTTAAAGGTCCAGACTTACAGTAGAAGTTGAACAGGAGTTTATTTACTTCTCTTGCAAGGGTCCATCTCTTTCTCTCTCTGTTTCCTCTCCCCTTCTCTTTGTGTGATACGTTTGCCAGTGTGGCTTCTGGGTCGCTTGCTTTCCCGGTGAGCACGATTTGGATGGTGCTGTGAGGCTTGTTTGCTGGGCGGGCCGGCTTGGCACTCCCAGCGTGCTTTGCAGCAGTGACTCAGTGCTGGATCTCTGACTCATCCTCGATGGGTCCGGGCAACAAAAAGCCACAGTAAACATCAAAGTGCAGCAGCTGTTAAGCCCCCTAATACACTTACTCATAATTTATTTTCCTTCTGAGCTAAATATTGTTTTTTAGGAGCAGAGAAGGTGGGGGCGAGGAGAGCTTGTAATGATTAATTATCCATCTCTTTATTTTCACACAGAAAACTTCTCCTGTGAAGATCTGTAGGTAAGTATTTTTTTTTTAAAAAAATCAATCCCTAAAAGAAAATATTTAAGTTGATTTTTAGCTCTGATAACAAATTGTTTCTTCTCTGGGAGTGCACAGAGGAATTTATTATAAACACTCAAATGTATCCCTATTTTATGTCTTCTGCAGAAATGTATTTTCATTTTCTCTTTTTCTTTCTTCTTTTCTTCTGAGATATCTTTTTCCTAAGGGGGAAACTAAACAACCCTGAATCCCACTACTGATTTCCTGAGGCTTCAGCAGCAAATGGTTTTGCCACACTGTTGGAGAATGAAAACAGAAAAAACAGGGAAATTACTTAAAATTTGAAAAATCATTTTTCAAGTTTATGGAGTTTTGATCTTTTCTATAGTGGAACAATCCTTGGCCTGTGATTTGAGGCCTCTGAGTTAGCTGTGGTGTGGGCCACCACAACAAATTCTGGAGAGGGTTCATAACACCCCAGGCCTCAGTTTCCCCAGCTGAAATATCAACCTGCTGGATTCACTGAGAGATTTCCCAGGTTCTTGTGCTCCCCCGGCTGCCTGCTCTTTCTGCACAGAGCAGTGAAGAAGCTCAGTCCTTTAGACAGAAGACCCAAGGCTCCGATATAAGGACTTAGGGCTTTTTATGTCAAATATGCTGTTATTTCATCCAATCTTTGTATTTTGTCCCTTTATTATATAGACTGATACTTGTGGGTGGGGTAAAGTGGGAAAGCCCTTTTGGATTCATTTTATCTTTTTAAAGCAGACACACACACACACACACACACACACACACACCCCACCCCCGTCATAACCGGATGTGTGACTGCAGCAGTGGGCTTGAAGAAGGCAGAGATCCCGAGGATGGCTCAAGACAGGGAGGGCAAGGCTCCAGCTGGTTGTTCACAGGGTCACTGTGAGTTGTTAACTCCATGGTACCCAAGAACAACACAACACCTGATAGGCTGAGACAATCAAACTTGTCCAGGGTACAAGTTTGATAGGATATGATGAAGCTGTCCATGTCCTGGTATCTTCCTGCCCTGCCCAGATAACAGGATTTGTCTGCTGAGAGAGCTCTCACATACCTTGCCAATGTATGTGATCCCCTCCTACCTGAAGCCTGCCTTTTCCTGTTCAGTCCAGGAAACACTTACCTTACCTCCTAGGGCCTTTTACTCTTCTCTAGGCCAAGTGTGTTTAGGTGCCTAGTGTGTTGGCAAACCTAGAGGAGCAGAATGGGTTGCAACGAGAAGCATCCGAGGTCTCAAGATGTCCTGGCTTCACAAGGCTGAGCATCTCAGCACCAGAGCTTCTTCTGTGCCAGTCACAGGAAGGCCTGTAGCTGTGTGACTGCAGATCACCATATCAGTGCTGCAAGAATGGAGAAGTAGTAGTCTAAAGATGACAGAAGAAGAGTTGATGCATTTGAGTTGTGGTGCTGGTGAAGAGTATTGAACCGAACCAAGGACTGCCAGGAGGACAGACAGGTCTGTCATGGAGAGGGGGAAACCAGGTTGCAAGGATTTTGAAGCTCTGTTTCAGATACTGTGGGCATGTTACCAGGAGGGACCAGTCCTTGGGTAAGGACTGCTTGCAAGAGTAGATAAAAGGCCCGTGCAGGAGAAAAAAAAATCCCTGGATGAGATGTACTGACACCGTGACTGTGGGAATAGGGGCAGGTGTCTCAGAGATGGTGAAATTGATTCAGGATAGACCAAGTTTTAGAGCTGTTATTTATGGCATCACTATGAATTGTAGTCAGCTTGAGAGCACGTAGCAACAATAACATGTCTCTTTCATCACCTTTAATGTAGAATTGAAGGCTTGCATTGCATTAAGCATTTTTTTAGGACTATGGGCTTGATGTGTTGTGGATTATCTCTTTTAAAAAAATTAGGTCTTTTTTCAAAAATAAATTTTTATTTTATACTGCTTTGCTTACAGAGTTCGTAAACATTGTTTTTCACACAGTCTTCATTAGCTAGACTGTCTCTTATATTTGTGTTTGTCTCAGTGTTTTCTTTCTGGAACAGGCACAACTGTGGCCTTGTTTGTTCATTTTTTTTTTCAATATACTGTCCGGGGTCTGTAGTTAAGGAAAACCCATCTCTTTATTTGTGTTTCACCTGTACATGTATATCAGCAAAGCAGTTTGGATTTTGTAGGTGTTCTGCAATGCCTCTCTGGGAGAGCTGTTTTCAGCGGCACACAAGACTGAAAGGTGCACATGTGTCTGGCTCTTCTCAGAGGACGCAAGGTCACCTGGGCCTGGGCTCACAGGTCTTTGCCTCATCCAGACTCCACTCACTGTGTCTCAGCCTGTACTTCCTCTCTGTGTCCCTTGATATTGAAAGGTAATACTCAGTCACTCATCTCTCCCCACAGTGCCCTCTTTCTCCTGGCTGCAGCAGGTTGTCTTCCCTTCAATGACTCCCAGGTAGGTTCAGATAACATCATCTTGCCTCCAGAATGTCTTTTACTCTCAAAGCTTGTGTGTAGGAGTGGACTTGTAAGCCTTCTGTTTAGGCTCAGGATAAGCCTGTCTTTTTCAGGCTCACCTTTCCCCAGCTTTGGCCTTCTCCCCAAGGTGCTGGTGTGGCTGCGAGCTCTTGCCTCTGTGGGTGCTGCTGCGTGCCATCTGCCCTCTGTATCTGTTTGGTGAACCTGCAGGCTGGTCCCTGAGCTCCCCAGGCCACAGGCACAAAGGCAGCATTGCTTTTCCTTCGCCTCTGAGGGACTCATATCTAGGGTGATTTTAATTTTGTTTATTTTCCTGACCTGAGTTTGAATTTTTCTCTGTTAGCACCGAGATCCATCTTCTATTCCAAGAGATCCCCTCACTGATGGGTTACTTTTCTTCCTTCTACTTCCCCATCTCCTTCCCTCACCCCCATGGCAGTGTTTCTTTAGTCCTCACCAAGTCCCAGCACTGGTGGGTGACACAAGAATAAGATGAGACCTTGTCCAGGTAGAATAGAAATGGGAACCTAGTTAGAGTCAAGAAGAGGGGGAACAGATAAATAAAAAAAGTTATCACCTTGTGGGTCCAGAGCTGTTCTCCAAGGAGGGGTGAGGTGCTAGAGGGCTGCATGGGGGTGGGAAAGTCTGACTTCTGTTTGTTATGTGCTGGCAGGTCGCCTCTGACTTATAACAACCCTATATACAACAGCTCTGAATTCTACTCTTTCCTGAGCCCTTTTCTGACACACCTACCCCAATTACCCCTTCTGTCCTCTTCAAAAAGAGAAACGTTCCCCATCAGTATCTTCCATACAGATAGCTACCAGGTCAGACATTCTACCCCCACAAGCTCCTGCACCTGTGTCTGTCAATCATTTGGTCCGATGTTTGTTACAAATTGACTCACAGACTTCACTTGCAGTTGTGGGGTTAGTTAGAAAATAGATTGAGGAGTGGGAGAAGCAAAGGATACCACACAATGCAAGTCTGGATTTAGTCTGGCAGCTCCAGTTAGTGAAAGTCTAGGTACAGTTCAGCAGCAGCACAAGTAAATCTCTGGTCTCCTCAGTCATCCAGCAAGCTTTGTCTCAAAACAGTCACAAGTCAGTTTTTCCTTCAATCCTCCAGCAATCAAAACCTTTAACTATAGCTCCATCTCCTGGGTTCCTCAGGCTACACCATACCACAGTGTCTTCTTGCTCAGTCTCTTCATACCCTCTTCACAGCCTCTCCACAATCTCACCACAGTATAGAAAGCATTCTTTCTCTTATACTGATCCCACAACTGTTGATTTGCAAGACCATATATCCACAGTCAAGGTAGCTGGAGACCATTCCCTGAGCAGGTATAATGCAATGGGTGGAAAAACCAACTTTTAAAATTCTAACACAACTGAGGCACTTCTAGAGATTTGAGAGTAGAAAGTGCCCACAATTACAACAGCCAACAGAGTGCCAGGCACTGTGCCTGTGCTTATTGCATTATCTTAGTTCTATCTCACAGTAGTTTCAGAAAGATAGGGCCCACTATTGCCTCCATTTCACAGCTAAAGAATACTGAGGTCCAAAAGAATCATCAGCTCATAAATAACTTTTAACTCAGATCTTTCAGATTTAGTCTTTGAGTAGTACAGACAATTAGCATGCATGTTTGCTACCTGAAAGGTTGATGGTTTGACTCTATCCAGAGGTGCTTCACAAGAAAGGCCTGGCAATCAATCTACTTGAGGAGAAAAATTAGCTCTTTGGAAACTCACTGGATCATACGTTTCTACCCTTAGCTCTGGTGGTCACCATGAGTTGAACTGATTTCATGACAGTTAATTTTTTTTTCTTTCTTACTGTAGAGCTCAACTGCTTCTGGTTGTTTGTTGGGTATCATGGAGTCTGACTCACAGAAAGCCCCGGTGACTGAGAGGACCTGCCCCGTAAGGGTTTCTAGGCTGTAGTCCACAGGTTTCCAGGACTTTTCTCCCAGTCAGTTGCTGGGTGGATTTGAAACACCAGTCTTTCAATGAGTAGCTGAGTAATTAACCCCTGTGCCTTAAGTCAGGCTGTACTGACGAGACTTGGGCTCTGAAGAACGAGGAGGTGTTAGCTAGGAGAAAGCAGGTGTAGATATAATCCTGGAGGTATCATGAGTATTCATGATTCAGCTTTCTGGAGCACCTATTGTGTGTGTCTGTCCTCCTAGAACTTGTATCCTGTGTGTATGTGACAGGCGCAGTGTTGCAGATGGGACAGAGATAGCTGAAAAATTAGAAGTAAAATCTAGAGTGCATGAGAAGATGCCTTTCCTTCAGGGAAAAAGAAGGAAAGGCTAAATGGGGGCACATGCCCCTCTGTGAGTTTGTGGGGATGTATTCACATGTGAGGGGGTGCAAACTGTGTGTGTGTGTGTGTGTGTGTGTGTGTGTGTGTGTGTGTGTTGAGGGGGGCACAAAGGTGACCAGAGGAGGCGACAGGCCTTCTTGTTGGAATTTATCCTAAAGTCACTGAGAACATTTGAATGCATTTAAGCAACAGATTTTCCCTTTGGAAACATAGTCTGGTGACATGGAGGGATGCGGTGGCAGAGTTCCGTTAGAAAGATGCCCTGGTCATCTGGTCAAGAGAGGAGGCACTGGCCGAGGCCCCAGGCACTCTGCCTGGCCCGTTGCTTAGCACATTGACTGTGTTCCTCATTGTCGCACTTGCTCCTGGCCTGTCTGTACTTACTGCCCTTTTTTTCTTTTCTTCACATTCTGTTACAGTTTGATCCAGATGGATATTTTTGGGCTATAATTCATGTATTCTGTGTAGGTAAGTTTTGAAAGAATCTCTAATTTTGTATCTGAGGCTGATTCATCAAGTGTATCCATTTTTCAGTGGCCCTGGAGAATGAACACCAAGATATCAGGGTTATAATTATGATATTTTTACACAAATAGACACTTATATTCTATGGTGAGTTGTGTTTTTTCCTGCTTTTGTTCTGCCCTCAGATATTAACTACTGTGCTAATTTTTTAAACAAGTTGCTGCTTAAAAATGATGCATTATATAGGGAGCTCTGGTAGCCTGGTGGCAAGAAGTTGTGCTGCAATCTGAAGGCGCATAGTTCGAATCCACCAGCTGCTCTCCAGGAGAAAAATGTTCAGTCTCCTCCCTTGCTATTAACTGTCTTTGAAAATCCACTGGAGGTTCAGCTAAGGGTAGTTTCCATATTGATGGTACACAACAACAGCAACAACAATGGCATTATTTATATGAAAAAGTAAACTAGAGGTTTTTTACTTGGTGTTTCTACTTTGGAGTTTGCCTTGAAATGTTTTCATTTCCGATATAGTCTCTCCTTTTTCCTGAAAAACTGATTCACGCTGCGTGGCTTGAGATTTGCTTTATCAGCTGAATGTGTCAATGCTGATTGGCTTTTGTGACAACTGTGGGAAAATATCCTTAAGTTTGTGTCGAAAACATTTTCTCTGAGCAGTATGTGCTGCTAGAGTTGAAGTGAGTTAAATGAGAGTTAAATCTGTCTTTATGTCAAGTCACATACACCCAGAGTACTCCTTAGTAGTGAGCATTCTAGAAGTGAGGATTCTGAAACTTATGCTCACATGCTTTGGGTTTGTTACCAGGAGGGGCTAGTCCCTGGAGAAGGACATTCTCTTAGCAATGTAGTCTCACTCTGTTTGCTGTCGGGTCCCTCCAGCGGGCTTCCAGAAGCTATAAATCATATAGGAGGAGATTTTCCACTTTCTCCCACCGAGTAGCAAGTCAATTCACTGCCCTTGACTTGGAAGTGCAGCCCCTTAGCCACTAGACTTAGGCACTGGAACTCAGATAAAATAGGCAAACCCTGGACCAGATGGGTCAACACAGTGAATCCAGAGCAGGGAGTGTGAGGATGGCCCAGGGCAGCGCAGTGCTTCATTCTCTTGTGCACGTGGTTGCTGGGAGTCACAGCTCACTCAACAGCCCTTCACAGCAACATTTATAGTCTTGGGGGCAATAGAGTGCCCTGGCTTTGTTACATGCAGCTCAGATGTACGCAGCAAGGATACTTCTCTTTCTCACTTGCACCTTTTAAAGGAAACAAGATGGATTGACACAGTGACTGCAGCCTTGGGCTCAAAGGTATCAGGATCTTGAGGACGACACAGGACAGGACAGGGTTCAGACCTGCTGTTCATAGAGTTGCTGTTAGTCATGCTTGACTTGACAGCACCAAATACCAATCGTTAAACTCCTCTTGCCCAGCTCTTTCTATGGGCCTCGCAGTAGTGTGATAGGTGATATTGGAGGAGTACGTATGTTAATTACTGAAAACCTAACAGGGGACAAGTGTGACCCTAGAGGGGAGGGGCCGGAAGTGGCCCCTGCTGGCTATCCCCCACCCGCGGCATGCAGACTTCATATCTGCCGTGGAGATGCGGGAAGCTCCTTAGGAAGAATACTGCTTGATGGTGACAACTGCCACTTTATTTTCAGGATTTTATAAGATTTTGCAGAAGTCCCAGAAGCCCAACCTGCTAAGGTAACCGATTTTATTTTTTTTTCTTATCTTTTTATACTTTGCATTCATTTACATTGTGTTCCATGCATTTGCATTGTGTTTTATACAATCTTATTTATATTGTTTCATTCACTTACACTGTGCTTTGTTTATGTACACTGTGTTTTACACTATCATTCATATACATTGTGTTTTATATAATTAATGACTATTGATCTATGCCTATTATTACCCTGTCTTTTCAAGTCCCCATTGAATCTTTCATATTCCTTCACCTCCCTCATCCACCCATTAATCTCTGCTAGTCTAGTAATTTGCCTCCTTCCCCATTTTCCATCTTTTCTCTTTCCCCTTCCCCTTTTGAACATTTATATACATCTTGCTTTATTATCCTTCTATTTTTGCAGTAATGTTCTCATATAGTATTTGTCCTTATGAGACTGAGTTCGTTCACTGGGCATAGTCTCTCCCATGTTATACAATATTTTATGAAATCATCATTCCTTAGTGCTGCATAGTATTCCATTGTGTGAATGTACCACAGTTTCTCAATCCATTTGTTTGCTGATAGGCATTTGGGCTATTTCCATTTTCTTGCCATTAGGAATAATGCTGCTGTGGACACAGGTGTAAGTCGGGTGAGTTGTCAGGTTAGAAAGGAGCAGAATCCCTCCTGGTATGAGACAGTGAGGGCAGCTGACCCAAGTCCCAAAGCTGTCTTTTTCTGTGCATTCAGAGCTTCTCCAGGTGAACTCCAGCCCTAAAATGTGTCTACTTTCCCTGATTGGTGAAAAGACATGGGGGCCTGAGTCCCTTCAAGGTCAGCAGTTAGATGTCTTTAGCTTGAAGTTCATGTGACCAGCTGTGTTGCAGACAGCATACTTTACTGCTAATAAGAGTTTGGAGATTCAGGTCCACCCAGAAATGTCTCAGAAGAAAGTCCTGTGTCTGAAAATCCAGCAATTGACAATCCTGTGGTGCACAGTTCTAGTCTATGCACGTGGGTCACCATGAGCTGGAAACTGACGTGATGGCAACTGGTCCTGGTTTGTCCTATCCAGTTTTGGAATGTACTTAAACCTTCTTTTTCACATAAAAGCTGCATTTAAGTGCTCTGTATTTTTGTTAAAAATGGCAGTCCTAAATGGCATTGACTTTTTTTTTTTTTACTTTTTTGGTTATTTTTTGTGTATGTACTGTCAAATCACATCTGACTGGTACGGGAGAAGATTGTCCCTTCTTTTCCAGCACAGTATCTGGTGGATTTGAACCGTGCACCTTTGGGATGGTCCATTGACTTTACATTGGAGCTGTGTGGTGTTAGCTTAAAAGTTGGCTTTTCTAGCCAATATATTAGTCCCCTCTGGTCTGTAGGTACCCTAACTGCAGACACATGGTCCTGTAAGTCATCAACAGCTGTGCAACTAGGATAAGAAAGAGAGTGCTTCTGCACTGAGCAGCAAGTTTTGAGGGAAAGTGGAGCAGGGCTCAGGTGAGACTGAGATCAGAGCAAGACCCTAGTGAGAGTGAGACCCTGATGGCAAGACTGTGGTGATGGTGGTGGAGTGACTGTGGCATTGCTGTGGAGAAACTGCAGCAAGGTGTAACCAGAGGAGCCCTGGGAGAAAGGCTACAGTTAAAAGTTTTGCTGTTCTTGTCAGATGATGGAAGGAAAAGCTGACTGCTGAACTGAAACCAGGACTTTTACTAATTAAGGAGTTGTGTTTTGCTGTTAATGTGGTTTAGGACTGCTGGACTAGCTTTGTGAGATATTCTTTGCTTCTCCCACTCCCCAACCTATTTCCCTAATCAGCTCCACTCTTGTACCACAACTGTGAGTAAAATCTGTGAGTCAACCATGAATATTGAACCCAGTGATCAAATGGAAATAAGTGCAAGAGTGTGGAGGGTGAAGTGTCTGACCTGGAAGCTGTTTGCTGCTGTGGATGTTATTGATGGGGAAGTTCCCCTTTAAGAATTGGAAAGAAGTCAAACTTGGCCACCGCCATGGCGCCTTTTAGAAGTTGGCATTCCTTTTTTTTTTTTTTTTTTTGCATTCTATTTAAAGTGGCAGATATGTACAGAAAAAGTCATTTGCCACAGGGGAAAATGTGTTTGATTATGGTAAACTAGGAAATATTTTTAAAAAGTGATTCTGGAACTGATTTTGAATATGAAATATTGTTTGTACTCTTTATTGATAACTTATAAATGTGTGTCATATATATGATTTCATTAGTTATTAAAAGATAATGACTACCTTTTGTATATAAAACATTTTTATTATTTCATATGTCTTATCTTTTGTTTTATTTTTCTTTTTTGTAATTTCTTAGTGACATTGACCAACAGTACTTGAACTACATATTCAGGTAAAGTATAATATACATTTTCAAAGAATAACTCATAGTGTTCTAGACTTTTATTTAATTCTAATATTTGAATTAGAGACTCTTGTGCCACTGTGGCTTTTGGGAAGTTCAGTAATTTGTGAGGTGACCAGAAGCTGAGGAGACCAAATATTCACCCTGGTGTTGGACCAGGCAAGCGAGATCTTGGTCTGGGACCTGAACCACTGAAGGCTATATGTAAGCTTCCCCATGTGATGTGGAGTCTGGAAGCCAAGGGAAAGTTTCCCCCTGCACTGCTCTAGAATATTCCCTGGAATTCCTACCTTGTGACCACGAGCTCAATGTCAGGCTTCCTTGGTTTAATCTCTATCATTCATCCCCAGACCCAGTGACTGTCCAGAAGGAGTTGTGGGAGGAAAGGGTCTACATGAAGTCCATGTCAATATGTAGGCTGCGATGTCCACATAGGGTAGCGCTTGGGTGAGTGGGAGCCAGGAGCAGGGGTGGACCTCCCATGGCTGCCAGGTTCTGCTTCAAGGACCCTGACGAGTCTCCATTCCCATTGGGCCTGCCAGGCTGTAATTGTTAAGGCTGGATGAAGATTTCATCTCGATTTATGACTGGTAAATATTTAAACCCATGGTACTCAGAGTTGGCCAGCTAAAGTGACTGTGCACACACGGACTTATTAGAAAAACAGAAGTCTGCTACTGGAAACTCAAGTTCACCAAATGTGGTGACATCAAGGTTTCTCCACTTGAAACGTTCAACTATAGCTGTTTTCTCATAACTAAAGTTCACAAATAGCATGTTGTTTATTAAAACATCTCTTTGAAAGCAGACATCCCCCCTCGTGGCAGTGAGCTGCTGTTACACTCAGCTAAAAATAGTAATTGGTTCCACTGTGCTCAGACCAGTCCAAGGCCTTTTCAGAATTTTTTAAGAACGCAAGCCTCTGTTGGTTTCCAACACATTTCCATGGCACTGGACTATTTTAAACAATGTTTTTCTTTACAGAACTTATCATTAATTCAAGCAGCAAAGGAATAAGGTATAAAGATATGGAAAAATCATCCTTCATGAGCCACAGATAACTTCCCTGTCCTCTCCTCCCTTCCTCTGACTCTTGGCTTCTGCTGTGAGGAAATTTATTGCCTGTGAGCCTGCTGCCACACTTCCCTCTCCAGCCAGGATTCTGGAGCCAAATCTTTGCTTTCGGCGCAGTGATGGAAATGTGTGAACCAAAGCGAGGGCCTCTCTTCGCCTCCCTCTGGCATCAGACACCGAAAGCCCAGCATCCAGGCATGTCCAGTCTGCTCAGATTTCTGACCGGCCGTGTGTCCTTCTGCCAACCCTGTGTACTGCCTGCCAGGGCACAGACTTGGTTTGATCTCTCAATTTTTGGAAGGAAAGAGTTGGATCACTGCCGACCTTTGGAACATATTCCTGTCTGGTGTGGCTGGGGATTGCCTATCTATGTAAACTCCATCTCACAAAGTTACAGTTTCCAAATTACTTCAGCCCAGGGCTGCTCTCAATTGTCCTTCTCCTCAGCCTCTTCTCATGACTGGTTCCATGATGTTGACACCCTGGAATCTATTAGGGAACTCGTGTGCTAGAGGTGGAGCGAAGGATGAGCCCAAGGGTAGTAACGCGTGCTACAGAAGATATGTAGCATATGAGCAAGAGTCAGTGATAGTAAAGGAGGTGGCCTAGTGACAAGAAGCTGAGCTTCAGTCCCAAAGGTGCTTGGTTCAAATCCACCAGCTGCTCTGTGGGAGAAGGATAGGCAGTCTCCTTTTGTGCAATTTGTGGCCTCTGAAAACCTACCAGAGGGTCAGCTATGGGTCAGTTCCATCTCAGTGGTACACAACAACAACAGGAGCATAAGTAGCATATGATCAAGAACCAATGGTAATAAAGGGGGAAGTTCAAGCTTCTCTGAAGGAATTGCAAAAAATAAGGCCCCAGGAATTGATGGAATACCAGTTGACATATTTCAGCAAACAGATGCGGCCTTTTATGTGCTCACCAGGTTGTGCCAAGCAATCTGGAGGACATCTACCTGGCCAACTGACTGGAAGAGACCCATATTTATTCCATTCCCAAAAAGGCCATCTAACAGTGTGGAAATTACCAAACAATATCACTAATATCATGTGCCAGCAAAATCTTGCTAAAGATTTTCCAAAACACTTAGAACAGTACACTGACAGAGAACTGCCGACAATACAAGCTGAGTATAGAAGAGGCTGTGGCACTAGGGACATCAGTGCCCATGTCAGATGGGTCTTGGCTGAAAGGCAAGTACAAGTGAGTGCAAGAAGGACATTTATTTGTGTTTTATGGAATAGGCAAAGGCATTTGACTGTGTGGATCACAAAGAAACTGTGGCTAACATGGACAAGAATAAGAATCCCAGTACCCTTGATTGTGATGTGAAACCTATCCCTACATCAGGAAAGTGTAGTCAGAACAGAGTAAGTGAATGCTGCATAGTTCAAAATCAGGAAAAGGAGTGCTTCAGGGATGTGTCCTTTCTCACATCTACATCTTTTTAGTCTATAGGCTGAACAGATAATTCAGGAAGCTAGACTTTATGAATAAGAATGTGGCATCTGAGTTGGAGGAAGACTCATCAACATCCTGCATTATGCAGATGATACAACTTTGCTTGCCAAAACTTGAAGAGTTTGCTGCAGAAGGTCAAGGAGTGGAGTCTTCAATATGGATTGCATCTCAGCATCAGGAAAACAAAGGTCCTCACCACTGGGCCAGTTGGCAGCGACATGATAGATAGAGAAGAGATTGAGATTGTTGACAGTTTCATCTTGCTTGGGTCCACAATCAACACTCTTGGCACTAGCAGTTAGGAAGTCAAAAGAAGAGTAGCTTTGGGAAAATCTGTTGTCAGGGACATCTCCAGAATGGTAAGGAGCAATAATGTCAGTCTAGAGACTCAGGCACACCTGATCCAAACCATGATATTCACAGTTACACTGTGCATCAGAGAGCTGGACAGTGACTAAAGATGACAAAGGAATTGATGCCTTCAAGTTGTGGTGCTGGAGAAAAGTGTAGAACATACCGTAAACTTCCAAGACAATAAGAAGGTCTGTCCTTGAGAGAGTGAAACCAGGTTGCTCCTTGGAGGCAAGAATTTTGAACTCCATCTCACATACTTTGGGCTGGTTGCCAGGAGTGTCCTTGGAGAAGGCTATCATGCTTAGAAGGGTGGATGGTTAGTGCAGCAGAGAAAGACTTTGGAGGAGATGGATTGATACAGTTGGGATAATAGGGATATGTGTGTTGGAGTCAGTGCGACTGGCTCAGGATAGGACAGGGTTCAGAGCTCTTGTGCATAGGGTTGATTTTACCACACATAACAACAATGGGATGGTCAACTATGTATCAGTTCTGACTTGATACTACATAACAAAACAACAACACAGGTAAGTAGCCCTAAGAGTGGACGAGGTTGACCAGTGCTGGCTTCCCCATGAGATGCTCTTCTTCCTCCACCCTGCCTATGATACTACCGACTAGAAGGTGATTTTTTGTGGTAACTCTCAGCTCTTGTTCACGTTAGAACCTCTGAGGGCCTTAGGAATGAACATAACTGACATCAGGACCATACACTCTGGATTCTGGGCAATTGTAACGGCAGCCACTACTGAGAACACAGAGTAGACAATCCAGAACTTTCAGGTACACACCTGAAAGAGTTAATTCTATCCCATTTTGTATATAAAGTATATTAAGTGTTAGGGCTGTTAACTGGAAGATCAGAAGTTCAAATACACTAACTGCTACGTGGAGAAAGATGAACAATCTCTTGTAAATATATTCAGTCTCGGAAACCTGAGGTGGGGGCCTCTCATGAACAGGAACAGACTCAAGGGCAGGGAGGTTGGAGTGTGGCGTTTTTGTTGTAAGTGGATCAGCTGTTTGGATGGAAGAAGAATTTCGATGGCAGAGAAGTTAGGGTAATTATGGAGGATGCAAAGGGTGCGTTATTTGGTACCCTGTGTTGAACCTAAGGCAGCAAGAAGACTCTGCGTGCCTGTTGCCGATGGGAGAGGCTTCCAGAAGCTTTCAAGAAGATGGATATGCCCAGTGCAAATGTGACCAATGTCAGATGGATATTCTTATTTTCTTTTTCATCACTTTATTCCTTTGCCATCACTGGAAACCAGTCCACTGTGAAACAGATGCGGGGGAGGGGGTGGATCATTCTGTAGCTTTCTCAGGAATTTAATGTCTTCTATGTGCTTAATTTTGTGGCAAAATATATTTAGCTCACCCTCATCAGTGAGGTTTTGGATTCTAACAAATCTACATTTTGCTTTGCTTAGCTTATAAATACTCTTTGTGAATTAGGTGACTTGAATGATCATAATGATGTGATGATCAACTAGGCCAAGAGAAAGGATCTGCAGAGTGAGACATGGGACCCTCAATTTCTCACAAGGGTGGAGTTGATTCTCTCGCCAAAACAGGCATTTTATGTGATCCTTGCCCTTTTGTTGAGAAATTGGAGTCAAGTTCAATGGCATAATTAATCCAGTGTAAATAATTTGCTTTCAGATGAATGCAGCTTCTGTTCCCGTCAGTGTGTAGTATGCACATCCAGTACACATCCATCCTTGGAGTTTTGGGAGTCACAACAGTGTTGAACTGGTTTCACTGGAGCATTCGCACTAAGAAAGAGCCCCTCTCCCAGACCAGCCCGTGGGAAGCCTGTAGGTCCAGGTGGTCTGATCCACAGCTGACCCCAGCGGTGGTGGAGCACTGGGCAGTTTCTTTGTGTGAGAGATTGCTAGAAGTCATGGCCAGGGGCTAACTAAAGCTTGATGACAGATTATCATTCTTTATATCAGACATTTTTATGTGCTTTCCCAGGCCCAGAACATTACCTATCAAATTATCTTCAACAACACATAAAACCTAAACCAATGTTACTTAGAGTGTTTACAGTGACATTCAGAGCTCCGGGAGCCTGATGCTCAGAGATGTGCTCTGGGAGGGAGCCTGTGATGCCACCTTCTCTGCTAGGCATGTGTGTTGCAAAACAGACACTGCACTCATATGCCATTTTTCAGTTTTTCTAAATTATTTTATAATGGTTTGCATACAAAGTTTGTATACATTATTTATCATACTGTCATTCACGTTGTGTTTCATACAGTCATTCCCATTCATTATGTTTTATATAATTAGTCATCATTGAACTATACCTACCTTTTTTTTTAAGTGCTAAAAGACTCTTGGCAACCAAAAATCTCCTATTGGTTCTCAAAAACAGGTACACATAGGTCTTTCAAAAAGGAAAGTAGCATAATGTGAACTTTGTAAAACTGAGGCGTCCTTGTATTTCTAAGTGGGGAAGGAGGCATTCATGGAGGATTTCCAGCGCTCGGGAAGCCCTCCTGACCGCTTTGCTTGTGTTTTGTAGTGTGGTGCTGCTCAGCTGTGCATCTCATCCCACAGGTAAGCTCCACTTCAGTGTGATTGTGTTTGATTTTCCTCACCCAGTCAACCAGAAAGAGAGCTCTGGTGGGCTAGTGGCAAGAAGCCGCGCTGCAATCCCGAAGGCACATGGTTCAGATCTACCAGCTGCTTCACGGGGGAAGGATGGACAACTTTCTCTCGTGCGATTAACTGCCTCTGAAAATTTACTGGAGGGTCAGCTCTGGGTTGGTTCTGACTCGATGGTACACAACAACAACAAGTCAACCAGAAAAAAACAACAACAAAACCCTGTAGTAATTTTTTAATAAAGATGACAGAGTAATACTTTTGGAGTGTGATGTATCGTAAGTGTAACTGAAAACTCAATGAGGAGAGACTCCTGGTGGTGTAGTCTGTAAGAAGTTGCACTGCCACCAAGGGCCTTTGAGGTGGCACCTCTCCAGTGACTCAAACTCACCAGCTGCTCTGAGGGAGAAAGATGGACAGCCTCCTCTAATGCAGTTTACAACCTCTGAAAACCTGCTGGAGGACCAACTTTGAGTCTGTTCTGATTCAACAGCAGTGTGCTTGAGCTTGAGTAATTAATTGTACTTACAACTGTTCTTAATAAACCTGTGAGGTTGCCCATGACTTTATTCTTATCCCCGCTTAAATATTATTTTCTTTGTTTTCAGCAAGTACTGTCTCAGTTGTATGGACAGGTGTCTGGTGGTGTGGCTTGTAGGGAGTGTGCCACTGACCCTAAAGTCACCCCTTCATGGAGGTTCACTCAGCAACTCTGAGGGAGACAGGGCTGTCCCCTGTGCATATACAGCGTGAAAACCACTCGAGGGTCAGTGCCCAGTCTGTTCTGACTTCTCAGCAACGAGAAGAGACGGGGTAAACTAGTGTTCACTTGGCCGACCTTTGAAATAGTTCCTTCAGGCAGTCATTGCATTATTGCATCGATCCTAAAGAATTTGGTGAAAAGTTCAGTATCACCTATTTCTCACTGATATAATTTTACTACTTTTAAATGTGTTTTACTGTCTGGTTTTTCTTCTTGTTGTTATTATGTGCTATCAAGTCGTCTGGGACTCATAGTGACCAAGTACTCTGAGTAAAGAAGTACATTTTTTAAATGTGTGGACAGTCTTCTATAATGATTTATAGTCTCAGAAAACCTACTGGAAGAGCAGTTATGAGTGAGTTCCACTTTCATTCCCCCTTACCCCCCCCCTCTCTCTCTCACACACACACACACACACACACTTATTATCTCTCTGCTCATTCTCTCTCTCTGAGTCTATAGTTACTCTATAGTTGCTTTTTTAGATATTTTGTTCCATTGTATTTTTCCCCCCTTTAACGTTGAAGTAAAAGATAAATCCGTACCCACATGTGATATGGCTGAAACATATGCTTTATTAGTGAGTGCTCCTTGTGGTGCATGGAGTGAGGTCGAAACAGCATCACCTCAGAGTTTCAGACCTGGAACATCTCCTTTCTTCCTCATTGATGGGTCATAAGATCTTTGTTTTCTTAAAACTTACATTTATTGACCACTAGCCTCTCTCAAGAGTAGGTTCCCACTCAAATTACTGGACCCCTTTGGCTTCAGTGTTCTCACCTATAAAATGAGAAAGGTAGGCTAGAATATTTCTGAGCTCCGTCTAGCTCTCACTTCCTGCTCCAGATGACAGCTTTCCTTTGGTGTTTGTGGCTCCTTCAGCCTCTGTGAGCAGGGTCCTTGGAGAGCTGTCAGCAGTGGCTCATGGGTGATGCTACCAGATTGTACGTGACGGATGGGATCCGTGCTGCACCAGTAGAATCATGGTGATTGCTTTACTTCTCGCACTGCTCTGTATCTGCTCGCGCTGAAGCACAGCTGCTTTTCCAGCTCACTCTCGCAGCCTGGCATCAGCTCAGAACCCTGAGGCTTATTGCTGGTCACCCTCGTCCCGCTCTTCTGCCTACAGCCTGTCCTTCATAAAACAGTACATCACAGTAATCCTGCACTGCTTCTGCTGACCTGCTCCTGGTGTTTGTCCCTGGATCACGCATCCAGCCATTCCTTCATGAGGCCAGGCATCTGCCATCCTGCAGCTGCTACAGTGCCTGCTACAAACTCTCCCCTTTTGAGATGTGCTTTCAAACGCCTTTGGGAAATTATACCTACTGGCTCTCATTGATTTACATTCATTTGCTTGCTGAATGATTTCCAGAGGATTTGGCTGGGTAATTTTTGCCTAAAGAAATCATTTTGGTTTTCAATTAAGATGGTGTGCTCATTTTTGTTATGGTTATGGTTATGATTATCAATTATTATTCAAAGTACTACCATATCCCACTGCTATTCATAGGGTTTTCAGGGACCTGTTATTTCACTTGTGGATGGCCAGTCCTGTTTCCTGCCTAGTTGGCAGTTCTGTTGTAACCCTTCTACCTGAGTAACCCTGCTGGAATTTGAAATAACTGGTGACAGAGCCTCTGTTATTATGTGAGCCCTCAGAATATAACATACTGACCCATGAGTGCTGTTGTTGTTGTTATTGTTATGTGCCATCAAGTCGCCTGCAACTCATAGGGACCCCTATGTACAGTAGCCCTGGAGCCTGCCCTGTCCTGAGCCAGTCTCACTGACTCTGACACACTTATCCCCATTGCCCTAGTTACTGTATCAATCCATCTCATCCAGGGTCTTCCTCTTCTGTGCTGTCTCTGTACTCTTCTGAGCATGATATCCTTCTCTAAGGATCAGTCCATCCTGGCCACATGCCCAAAGTATGTAAAACAGAGCTTGAAAATCCTAGCCTCCAAGGAAAAACTTGCTTTCACCCTCTCCAAGACAGACCGATTTGTTTTCTTGGCAGTCCATGGTATGTTCAAGACTCTTCTCTGGCTCCATAACTAAAAGGCATCAGTTCTTCTTCTGTCTTCCTTAGTCATTATCCAGCTCTCTAATGCATAGCAAGTAATTGCAAAGACCATGGACCATGACTGAATCAGGCACACACTAATCTCTAGACTGACATCATTGCTTCTCAGTGCTCTGGAAAGGTCCCTGACAATAGATTTACCTCATGATTTGCCTTTTGATTTCCTGATCACTGGTGCCAGAAGTGTTGCCAAGTAAGCCATAACTGTTAATAACCTCAGTCTCTTCTCCATCCATCATACTGCTGCCAACTGGCCCAGTGATAAGAATCTTTGTCTTCTTTTTCTTATTTATTTGCAAGATGTTATTTTATTTTTCCTTACATTCATTTTAGGCAAATAATATCCATTACATTTTTTATGTCTTTAATTTCAATGAAAATTTACAGAAACTTTAGAATTCCATTCATTTATTGTTGCACTTTTCTCCCCTCCCAAGCCTCCTCCCTAGTACACTACTCTCTTGGAAAAGTAAAAGAAAAATTCTTTCATTGTTTTATAAACCCTCCCCAAGGTCCACTCCACTATGTAGCCTTTGCTGTGGACTCCTGTCATGACAGAAATACCTAATCACATATCTCTTTTAAACAGTTCTCTCCCTCATCTGTTTCAATGCAGTATACATTATTGAACCCATCTTTCTCAGTTTTCCCCCAACCCCGACGTTGGCCCTGTTTTACAACAGTGGCACTATGCAGTATTTGTCCTTTTGTGACTGAGATACTTCACTCAGCATAATGTCCTCCAGGGTCACCCATTTTGAATAATATTGCATGAGTTCCTTGTTTTTCAATGCAGCGTGGTATTCCATTGTGTGAATATACCACAGCATCTCTATCCATTCGTTTGTTGATGGGCACTTAGGTTGTTTCCAACTCCTTGCTATTGTGAACAAACCTGCAATAAACATGGGTGTGCATATATCTGCTTGGGTGTCAGTTATGGTCTCTTTGGGGTATATTCCAAGTAGTGGAACTGCTGGGTCAAATGGTATCTCTATTTGCAACTTTTTGAGAAAGTGCCATACCACCTTCCACAGTGGTTACACTCCCACCAACAGTGAATAAGGGTTCCAGTTTATTCCACAACCTCGCCAGCATTTGTTGCTTGTTGTTCTGTTAAATCTTGCTATTCTTACACTCCCACCAACAGTGAATAAGGGTTCCAGTTTCTCCACAACCTCGCCAGCATTTGTTGCTTGTTGTTATGTTAAATTTTGCTATTCTTACTGGGGTGAGATGATATCTCATTTGTTTTGATTTGCATCTCTCTTAGAGCTAGGGATTTTGAACATTTCTTCATGTGCTTGTTGGCCATTTGAATGTCTTCTTTGGTGAAGTGTCTGTTCATATCCTGTGACCATTTGTCTATTGGATTATTTACCATTCTCTTGTTGTGGTGCTCAAGTATTTTATAAATTCTGGATATAAGTTCCTTGTCTGACATGTCATTACCAAATACTTTTTCCCAGTCTGTGGCTTCCCTTTTGACCCGGTTGGAGAAGTTTTTGGATGTGCATAGGGATTTGATTCTTAGAAGATCCCATTCATCTATTTTATCTTCTCCTGGTTGTAGGGAATCTTTGTCTTCTTGATGTTGAGCTTCAATTCATATTGAAGACCACAGTCCTTGACCTTTTGCAGGAGCACTTCAGGTCCTTCTCAGTTTCAGCAAGCAAGGTTATGTCACCTGTATAACGTAGGTTTTTTATGAGTCTTCCTCTAATCCTGATGACACATTCCTCCTCATAAAGCCTAGGTGTCACTTTAAAGACTAAGGTGTGTCTGACTCAGGCCATGATATATTCAGTCACTTCATATTTTGTTGGACAAGGAATAAAGGAAAGCAAGTAAGAGTAGATGCTTTTGAACTGTGTTGTTATTGGTGAAAAGTATTGACTATCCCATGGACTGCCAGAAGAACAAGCAAATCTGCCTGGTGTCTGCACCAGGGGAGGTGCAGCTGGAGTTGCTCTTTAGGGGTGAGGATGAGGAGGCTTGTCTTGTATGCCTCGGGCTTTTTATCAGGAGGGACCTGTCCCTGGAAAAGGACGTAATGCTTGGCAAAGCAGAGGGTCCATGAAGGAGAGGAAGACCTTCAGT